TCGAGAACAACTGGGCCAGAAAAGCTGAAACTTATGTGGAAGCATCCTGGTATAATGTAGATTCTAAATTGTTCAAATAATGACCCCCAGGGGAAGGGCGGGGCCACAATGGGGAATCAAAGTTTTATATAGAAATGTATAGGAAAAATCTTTGAAAATCTTCTTCTCAAGAACCACTGGACCAGAAAAGCTGATACTTATGTGGAAGCATCCTGGTATAGTGTAGATTTTAAATTGTTCACATCATGACCCCCGGGGGAAGGGCGGGGCCACGATGGGGAATCAAAGTTTTACATAGAAATACATAGGAAAAATCTTTGAAAATCTTCTTCTCAAGAACCACTGGGCCAAAAAAGCTGAAACTTATATAGAAGCATCCTTGTATAATGTAGATTCTGAATTCTTCAAATAATGACCCCCGGGGGAAGTGCGGGGCCACAATGGGGAATCAAAGTTTTAAATAGAAATATATAGGAAAAATCTTTGAAAATCTTCTTCTCAAGAACCACTGGACCAGAAAAGCTGATACTTATATAGAAGCATCCTTGTATAATGTAGATTCTGAATTCCTCAAATAATGACCCCCGGGGGAAGTGCGGGGCCACAATGGGGAATCAACGTTTTAAATAGAAATATATAGGAAAAATCTTTGAAAATCTTCTTCTCAAGAACCACTGGACCAGAAAAGCTGATACTTATGTGGAAGCATCCTGGTATAGTGTAGATTCCAAATTGTTCACATCATGACCCCCAAGGGAAGGGCGAGGCCACAATGGGGTATCAAATTTTTACATAGAAATATATAGGAAAAATCTTTGAAAATCTTCTTCTCAAGAACCACTGGGCCAAAAAAGCTGAAACTTATATGGAAGCATCCTTGTATAATGTAGATTCTAAATTGTTCCCCGGGGGAAGGGCAGGGCCACAATGGGGAATCAAAGTTTTAAATAGAAATATATAGGAAAAATCTTTGAAAATCTTCTTCTCAAGAACCACTGGGCCGAAAAAGTGAAGCTTATATGGAAGCATTCTCGGGTAGTGTAAATTCTAAATTGTAGGAATCATGACCCCGGGGGGAAGGGTGGAGCCATTATTGGGAATCAAAGTTTTACATAGAAATATATAGGAAAAATCTTTGAAAATCTCTTCTCAGGAACCACTGGGCCAAAAAAGCTGAAACATAATTGTGCCCATGGAAGGATCATCGGGTAGTGTAGATTTCAAAATGTCTAAATTATGATCAGTGGGGTAGGGCGGGGATGCATTATGTATAACAAGGGGGAAATCTGGTAAAGAACAGAATGGTCAAAGCTTCTCAGGTGAGCGATGTGGCCCATGAGCCTCTTGTTAAAGGTTAATATGCTTGTTTAAAGTAATTCTCAATAATATTAGAACATAAGGTGTTGTGTGTGGAGGAACCTTAAACAACGTGATTTTAACAGTAAAACAGAACATGATTTTGTTATTGTATATTCATTTTAAATGATCAATACATATTACGAACAAATTTGTAATTTAAAAAAGCTATTTTTAATATAACGAAAGCTCAAATCGTCTGCATTCTCTACACAGGTAAGCAAACAAATTTTACCTCTGGTGTTAAATGAAACAGCGTAATCGAGACATGGAGACCTAATTTGTTTCTCTATAGAGGAAACGATCATTATCTCTAATTTAGCAATTGTAATATACATGGTACGATAGAAATAGAGTCATTGATGTCGTGAATGATGCAGAATAACCTCCTCGGTCTCGAAATGTTGTTTTCAATATTAAAGCCTCAGCTAACGCCCTCGCTTTTATCTTTCAAACAACATTTCTCGACCTCGGAGGTAATTCTGCAACATTCATGAAAACGCAGACTTTATTTCTTAATTATACAGATGATGATAGTAGTCAGTGGTGTGGCGGTGTCTGTGACAGATGTGGCAGCCTATGCCTCCTGTACTATGTTATATCTATATATACATTATACAGATAGTTGTCAGTGGTGTGGCAGTGTCCGTGACAGATGTGGCGTCCTATGCCTCCTGTACTATGTTTTATCTATATATACATTATACAGATAGTTGTCAGTGGTGTAGCGGTGTTGGTGACAGATGTGGCGGCCTATGCCTCCTGTACTATGTTATATCTATATAAACATTATACAGATAGTTGTCAGTGTTGTGGCGGTGTCTGTGACAGATGTGGCGTCTTATGCCTCCTGTACTATGTTATATCTATATATACATTATACAGATAGTTGTCAGTGATGTGGCGGTGTCTGTGACAGATGTGGCGTCCTATGCCTCCTGTACTATGTTTTATCTATATATACATTATACAGATAGTTGTCAGTGGTGTGGCGGTGTCTGTGACAGATGTGGCGGCCTATGCCTCCTGTACTATGTTATATCTATATATACATTATACAGATACTGTGGTTTCATCAATTTTCGTTGCCATCAATTTTCGTGGATTTTGTAAAACAGACGTTTTCGAGGATATGTAAATTCGTGGACAAAAGCATCGCCTTTACAAATGAATATCATATTTCGTAATTCAATGATCATTTGAAATCGTGGATCTGCTCGACAACGAAATCCACGAAAATTGGTGCTCAACGAATATTGATGAAACCACAGTAGTTGTCAGTGGTGTGGCGGTGTCCTTGACAGATGTGGCCGCCTATATTGCCTCCTGTACTATGTTATATCTATATATACATTATACAGATAGTTGTCAGTGGTGTGGCGGTGTCTGTGACAGATGTGGCGGCTTATGCCTCCTGTACTATGTTATATCTATATATACATTATACAGATAGTTGTCAGTGGTGTGGCGGTGTCTGTGACAGATGTGGAAGCCTATGCCTCCTTTACTATGTTATATCTACATATACATTATACAGATAGTTGTCAGTGGTGTGGCGGTGTCAGTGATAGATGTGGCAGTCTATGCCTTCTGTACTATGTTATATCTATATATATGCATTATACAGATAGTTGTCAGTGGTGTGGCAGTGTCTGTGACAGATGTGGCGGCCTATGCCTCCTGTACTATGTTATATCTATATATACATTATACAGATAGTTGTCAGTGGTGTGGCGGTGTCTGTGACAGATGTGGCGGCCTATGCCTTCTGTACTATGTTATATCTATATATACATTATACAGATAGTTGTCAGTGGTGTGGCGGTGTCTGTGACAGATGTGGCGGACTATGCCTCCTGTACTATGTTTTATCTATATATACATTATACAGATAGTTGTCAGTGGTGTGGTGGTGTCTGTGACAGATGTGGCAGCCTATGCCTCCTGTACTATATTATATCTATATATATATTATACAGATAGTTGTCAGTGGTGTGGCGGTGTCTGTGACAGATGTGGCAGCCTATGCCTCCTGTACTATGTTATATCTATATATACATTATACAGATAGTTGTCAGTGGTGTGGCAGTGTCTGTGACAGATGTGGCAGCCTATGCCTTCTGTACTATGTTATATCTATATATACATTATATAGATAGTTGTCAGTGGTGTGGCGGTGTCTGTGACAGATGTGGCAGCCTATACCTCCTGTACTATGTTATATCTATATATACATTATACAGATCGTTGTCAGTGGTGTGTAGGTGTCTGTGACAGATGTGGCGGCCTATACCTCCTGTACTATGTTATATCTATATATACATTATACAGACAGTAGTCAGTGGTGTGGCGGTGTCTGTGACAGATGTGGCGTCCTATGCATCCTGTACTATGTTATATCTATATATACATTATACAGATAGTTGTCAGTGGTGTGGCAGTGTCTGTGACAGATGTGGCAGCCTATGCCTTCTGTACTATGTTATATCTATATATACATTATATAGATAGTTGTCAGTGGTGTGGCGGTGTCTGTGACAGATGTGGCAGCCTATACCTCCTGTACTATGTTATATCTATATATACATTATACAGATCGTTGTCAGTGGTGTGTAGGTGTCTGTGACAGATGTGGCGGCCTATACCTCCTGTACTATGTTATATCTATATATACATTATACAGACAGTAGTCAGTGGTGTGGCGGTGTCTGTGACAGATGTGACAGCCTATGCCTTCTGTACTATGTTATATCTATATATACATTATACAGATCGTTGTCAGTGGTGTGTAGGTGTCTGTGACAGATTTGGCGGCTTATGCCTCCTGTACTATGTTATATCTATATAGACATTATACAGATAGTTGTCAGTGGTGTGGCGGTGTCTGTGACAGATGTGGAAGCCTATGCCTCCTGTACTATGTTATATCTACATATACATTATACAGATAGTTGTCAGTGGTGTGGCGGTGTCAGTGATAGATGTGGCAGTCTATGCCTTCTGTACTATGTTATATCTATATATATACATTATACAGATAGTTGTCAGTGGTGTGGCGGTGTCTATGACAGATGTGGCGGCCTATGCCTCCTGTACTATGTTATATCTATATATACATTATACAGATAGTTGTCAGTGGTGTGGCAGTGTCTGTGACAGATGTGGCAGCCTATGCCTTCTGTACTATGTTATATCTATATATACATTATACAGATAGTTGTCAGTGGTGTGGCGGTGTCTGTGACAGATGTGGCGGCCTATGCCTCCTGTACTATGTTATATCTATATATACATTATACAGATAGTTGTCAGTGGTGTGGCGGTGTCGGTGACAGATGTGGCGGCCTATGCCTCCTGTACTATGTTATATCTATATATATATTATACAGATAGTTGTCAGTGGTGTGGCGGTGTTGGTGACAGATGTGGCAGCCTATGCCTTCTGTACTATGTTATATCTATATATACATTATACAGATAGTTGTCAGTGGTGTGGCGGTGTCTGTGACAGATGTGGCGGCCTATGCCTCCTGTACTAGGATATATCTATATATACATTATACAGATAGTTGTCAGTGGTGTGGCGGTGTCTGTGACAGATGTGGCAGCCTATGCCTCCTGTACTATGTTATATCTATATATACATGATACAGATAGTTGTCAGTGGTGTGGCGGTGTCTGTGACAGATGTGGCGGCCTATGCCTCCTGTACTATGTTAGCGGCGTCCCTGGAGACCAGCTCTGACCAGACACAGGACATGATTGATGCCTGTATACAGTTCCTTCAGGACAACGAGTTTGTGTCTCTTCAGAAATCACAAACAGAAGGTTAGTATAGCAAAGTCTATTCTTCAAAAGAAAACAAACATTATGCTTCTCAGATGGTTACATGTATGTAGTGTTTTCAAATGATTTTTCAATTGAATAATATCAAGGGTATTAACTAGTCTAAGAGTAGGATGAAAAAGAATTTTTCTGTGTCATTTAATACTCATGAAAGTACATGGTTCTTCATGCTCCATACAATGGGTTAAAATATTAATCTCATTGGGTAGATGTAATCACTTATGACAATTATTTATCGTAGTTGGTATGACTATGACAACAGAAGAACGGTTTGTTCCCACTCAGCTCGGTGCAGCTGTACTAGCCTCCAGTCTTTCTCCAGATGAAGGTCTCACTGTGTTTGCTGAACTACAGAAAGCTAGACAGTGTTTTGTTCTAGAGAATGAACTACACATTGTCTATCTAGTGAGTGTTGTGATGGTTAGGTTTTTGGGTTTAGTCTTTGGAAAAATAGTTTTTGAATGGATCAGAGTTTTTTCCAAATTACTTATGGTTAATTCTTGTTAGTCATCTTTTAGCAGACCATCAGTATAAAGGAATTGTCTAGAAAAATCACCTCTTATTTAAATCATATTCCAATGTTGTAGGTGACCCCCATTTACTCTCTAGACTTGGGTGCTAACATGGACTGGTACAAGTTCTACTGCCTGTGGGACAAACTTTCCCCGGACAAGAAGAGAGTGGCCCAGCTGGTGGGGGTCAGTGAGGCATTCCTCACCAGGGCAATCCAAGGGAGGATACCAACTAAAACAGAGAACCAGTTAAGGAGTCTGGCCATACACAAGAGGTCAGCTTGTATGCAACAGATTTCTTAATTATTTTTCGAATTATGTACAGTTAAACACAATTACCCTACCTCTGTTGATTTTTCCATGAAATCCTGGCTTATGATCGGTGAAAGTCTGTCACGTGAAGGTGGTGGATTACTTATACCCGGTCAGTTGTAAATCCATACCTGGTCAGTAAATCTATACCCAGTCGATGTATTACGTCACAAACACAAACGTGACGTCATAATAGGCACAGTATAAGCGCGATGAAGCATTTAGCAGAGAAAACCATTTATAAACTACATATAAAACGTAAATGTTTCATCGGTGGGGTAAATTCGTTACATAGTCTTTTAGTGACAGGGTATGGGATGATGCTCCGCCTCGCCAGGTATGAAATTTACTAACCAGGTATCATCCCATACCCTGTCACTAAAAGACTATGTAACTAATAATACCTAGTTAGTAAATTTCATACCTGACTGGGCTCCGCCTCGCCAGGTATGAAATTTACTAACCAGGTATCATCCCAAACCCTGTCACTAAAAGACTATGTAACTAATATTACAAGGTACACTAATGTCAGAATATCTCTGTTTAAAAGAAGAATTATCTTTCTCCCATCTCTAATGTTGTATTGTTTTCTAATATGGATATAAACTAAAAGTAAATGTAAAACTTTAT